CCTCCAGGTATCGCCACTCTCACCACTAGTCCTGAAGGGGTCATCTGTCCTGGATTCCCTGTGTTTCCAATTCCTATCTGTACCAGTGCACATCCTCCGGGCTAGCCAGATTTGTAAGGAATTGTTCTTAAAATGAGTGAGACTTGGCCTTTTGGAGGGAACAATGTCATCATTGTTAGCTGTTGTTTTGTTCATCTCTGACTCATGGCCCCCCAGGTACAACGGCCCAAGACGTTGCTAGTTCTGATCATTTGCAGATCAGACCCTTGGGGTCTGTGGGGTTCCCACTGAATAATTTTCAGAATTGGGCCTCCAGATCTTTCTTCCCAGTGCATCCTGGTCTGGCAGCCTCGCCAAAACCTATTCAGCATCACAGCAATGCCTGAGCCTCCACTGACCAGCGGTGCAGCCGCAGGAGCATTGACCTGGAATTGAATTCGGTCTCCTGTATGGAATTTAATTTCCCTCCACTTCAGTCCCCCAAATCACCTGTCTCTCACCAGAATTCACCAATGCGCTTCCCTCTCCATGCCACACAGCCCCCTCTTCCTTCTGCGCGGGGTGCTTTTAGAAAAGCGCGTGCATTTATGAGCCTGACTCAGCTGCGTCCAGGTTTCCCGCGGGGACGCCCAGTGGAGAGAAAGCCCGCAGAACAGACGTTCCCTTTTGGGCGGTGGCTGTGCGACTTGGTTCAGACTTTGTCGCCCTCCCACTACGACTGGTTAGTGTCTGCGATGGTGTCCTGAGGTCCGAAACTGCCTGCCTGGCAGAACGCGCAACAATGTTGAGCATGTGTTTGGAGCCCACTCATCCTGTAAGCCAAGCTGTTTACATGGGACTTGATCAGCAGGGAACATGTCAGAAAGACATGTTTTTCCTCCCGCACCACCGAAGCGTGTTTTGCCCCACTCTTTGTACATACCGTATATACGTGCATAAGCCGAGTTTTTCAGCACATTTTTATGCCGTTTTTGTGGCAAAAGGTGCCTCGGTTGATAGTCGGGTCAGCTTATACTCGAGTATATACGGTACTTGTTAGCTAACAGTGTTAATTTTTTTCTTGCCTATTTTTTCGAAGGAGCCTTGGTGGAGGAGTGGCTATGCATTGGGCTGCTAACCATGAGGTCAGCAGTTGGAAACCAGCAACCGTTCCATAAAGTGTTCCAGTCTCGGGGATCCCGGCAGCAGTTCTACCTTGCTCTACAGGGTTGAGCTAAGCAGAACTATTGACTTGATGGAGTGAGGGTTTTTGTTGTTGTTTTTAGCTTATTCTTTCCGCAGATATTCTGGCCTGACCAGCCCTCTCACTGGAAAATTCGGGGGCTCAATGTAGTTGCTGACTCATGATTTCCTCATTTGCCTCAAATGAATGGTTGAATCAAACCCAAAAAAGAACTGTGTTTAATATTCTGCTTTTCCTCTCCAGAGCAGATGCCTGCCATTACTGAATTTTGAGGGAGCTATTTAGAAAATAATAAAACTAACAGCTAAGCACTAATATGTTGTCTGCCTCATGCCTCCGCGGCCAGCTTTACTGTAATTATGTCATTCAAGGGAAGCGTCCAACCGTTTTCCTTCCCCAGGCCCTTTGTGTTTCTAAATAGCAGAATTGTGGCCACATTTCTAAGAGAGCAAATCACACGCAAGTGTGAAAATGGCTTGATGTGAAGTCATTAGGGATGTGCAAACGATGGAGAGTGACATTTCAAATGGATTGGCCAAGGGAGCCAGTTCGGAGTCCTTCTGCTGACAGAGGGAAATGCAAAAATAGCCAAAGTGGTGGGAGTTGAAGAAAAGTCTGGGGAAGAATTTATGGACTAGTTGGGCATTTCTGAAATGCTCTGAGTGCTTTTCGTGACACCACGGATGCAAAGTGCTCTTCAACCAGTGCACCAACGGCTGCTAGTTGCTGTCGAGCCTTCCTGGCTCCGTCCAGCCCCACGCTGCCGAGTGGAGCTGCTCCCTGGGTTTCAAGGCTGTGCCTTTCCGAAGCAGATCACCAGGCCTTTTTCCCAGAAGCCTCTGGGTGGGGTTCAAACTGCCAGCCTTTCGGTTAGTAGGCCTTTGCTTAACCCTTCACACCACCTAAGGTGGCATAGTGGGGTGAAGTTTGGGCGGTGAGCAAAAGGCCAGGTCTAACAAAACCCACCAGTCGTTCTGACAAGAGGATGATGCTGTCTGTTCCCAGAAAGATTTCCAGTCTCAGAAAATCTGCTCTATCTTACGTGTTAGAAATTATTATATGGTTTTGCTTTGGTTATTGCCTCCCCTCCCTTCTAGCCAGTGATTTCTCCTTTTTCTCTTCTCCTCCCACCCCTGGGAACCAACCAGCAAAGAATGTTTCCATTCGTGTGAAAATCTTTTCTTGGCATTTTATAATCGTGGTCTCATACAAGAGTTTGCCTTTTGAGATTAGCTAATTCCACTTCGCCTCATGTCCTCCAGGGTCATCTGGGCGAGGAGGTTTCAAAATGCCACCTTCTTCTTTAACATTGCTTGATACCCCATTGTGTGTATGGACCAAGGCTCGTTTTCATCCATTCTTCCACCAGTGGGCATTCAGGTTCTTTCTGTCTGTGTGCTAACATGAATAGTGCTGTCATGACCATGCGTGTGCGTATATCTTTTCATGTCACAGTTCTGGGATATATACCAAGTAGAGAAATTGCTGGGTCGGATGGTATTTCTTTCCCTAACTTTCTGAGGAAGTGCCACACTGTTTTCCACCTCAATTGCACTGTTTTCAGTCCCACCAGCAGTGGATGAGGGGTCTAGCCTCTACACACCCTTGCCAGCATTTGTTGCTTTCTTTTGTGTTTGTGCCTTTGCTAATAATGCTGGGGTGAGTTGTTTTGATTTACAGCTCTCAAATGACTAGTGAGTGCAAGCATTTCTTTATGAGTTTGCTGGCCGCTTGAATGTCTTCTTAGGTAAACACTCCCCTGCACATTTTAAAAAATGGATTGTCTTCTTTTGCTGCTGAGGTGTTGAAGTTTTCTGCAGATTATAGATATCAGTCCCTGTCTGGTATGCCATTGTCAAAAATGTTTTCCCAGGCCGTGGGCTCGCTTGTCGCTCTTAGTGACATCTTTCCAAACACTTAAGTATCTAGTTTAGGAGGTCATGGTCTTTAACCTATTTTGTCTCTATTGGGTGTGTGTTTTCCATTATGTTGGTAGTGCATTTAGGCTAATTTGGGATTCCTACGTTTATTGCTATATTTTCATCAATGATCTTTGTATTTCTAGGTTTCGCGTTTAGGTCTCTGATCCATCTTGCGTTAATTTTGTATAGGGTGTGAAATATGGGTACTGCTCATTTTTGGAGAAATGAATATCCAGTTTTACCAGCACCATTTGTTAGAGAGACCATCTCTTCCCCATGTAATGCATTTTGACCTTTTGTCAAAGATCATCTGTCTGTAGGAGGATAGACTTATCTCTGGGTTCTCCCTGGTGTTCCGTTCATCTATGCACCTATTGTTGTACCAATACCAGGCTATTTTGTTTTATTTTTAAATCATTTTATTGGGGACTCATACAACTCATCACAATCCATACATCCATCCTTTGTGTCAAGCACATTTGTACATTTGTTGATCAGGCAATTTTGACAACTGTGGCTACGTAATAAGTTTTTCAGTGTCAGAAACCTTAAGGAGCATATCTACTCTGTATGATAGGGTCTTAATGAGTGAGAATCGACTCAATGGGAGTGGGTTAAGTCAGCAAGTATGGAAACGTCATCAGTAATAGCTTAAATGTGACCCAAATAATGATGTATCTTTTATTCTTGGGGGTGTGAGTTGCAGCAAAGGGACCAACATTGTGCCAAGTGCTCTCAATTCACTGTAAGCACTCTGCCTCCCAGCCTACTAACCCGTTGCTCTAGATCAGGGCTATCCAATGGAAGGCCTTGGGAGCATGGACGTGCTGTAGATATGTGCTGTCCAGTTCTGCGGTCATGAGCCACAGCTTGCTGCTGAGCACTTACACTGTACCCACGGAGACCTGAACGATTGCTTTAACTTTTCTTCATTGAAGTTGAAATGTTTACAGCCGCATTTGGCTAGCGCTGCCCGTTTGAACAGTATAGCTCTAGATCCTTAGGCCTAGGACCATGCAGTTTCGTGGTGGATCGCATGCATTGAGCTTTCATCGTTGGTTAGCTTCAGGGAGCAACCCAAGCAAAGGACTAATGAAGTCTCAATTTTCCACTCCATTCTGATTTATAATTTGGAAAAGCCAGCCCCAACCCCTTCTGAAAGGCAGGGGATCCAATACATGCTCCAAAAACATCCAATACGTGTTCTCTTCAACCTCTAATGCTGTGTGGGGCAGAGAAACTGGGCAGGGACAGGCAGGGTCATCAGGAGCAGCAGGGTTAAAAAGGTACTTCTTTAGATTTTGTGTCATTCGCCTTCTGTCAAGAAGAATGGCTGGATTTCATATTAAAACCCTTTACAAACACAGACAACTATGAATCGCCTGTTCCCCATAACAAAACTTTCTCTTTCCCTGCATAATGCTGTCAAGAAGCTCTGGAATTAAAATGCATGATGTTTTAAAGCAGCAGTCCTAGAGCCTGCGCCAGCGGACCGAGCAGGAGTGGAAAGCGTCCCAGCTGCAGATGCCACGGAACTTTCGCCCTGCAGATCCCCCTCAACTCCTCGGCACCTCCGCTATCGCCAGCCTGGAGGTGAGAATTCAGAGAGAGACTCAGAAATATTTCATGAACGCTCTCCAATTGGAGAGAAAAATCACCAGAGCGAAAGGTACAAATCCTTAGATTATTTTTCCCATGGCGCAAATAAATATATCCAAATAAAATAACAATGATCTTTGAGGTGTTTAATTTTTTTTTTCCTCCTCAAGCCAATTATTTCAAGTCAAAAGGGAAAATCACACAATTATGAAATCAGATTCACCCCAAGTAGCACAAATAAAACATGAAAACTTTTTTTTTTTTTTACCTTTATAGGCATGCTTTCAAGAAAGACAATTTAACAGAAGATATCTTGGTTGATTTCAGACTTTGGGTCTGTTATGGGCCATTTAGATTATTCTGATAAATGGAGGAAAGAAGCACAATGTTCCTGGCTTATCATAGCCAGATCTCGACTCTTCTAAGAGCCTATCGATCCACACCTTGCAATGCCCTTGACCATTGTCATGTAGGACAAACCTCCCAGCGTTCACTGTAGCCTGGAAAACTTTGAGCTCAAAGCTCAAAGCAAAACTCCACTAATGCAAGAATGAGGTGTTTGCTAGTCAGCCTGTTACTATAATTTGGCCTCTATTTTATAGTCTCATAACACACTTGTCATATATTGATATTCATATATAAGTTTTAAATTTTGTATAAGGATTATTTGCTTGGAAATCCTTATGTAAATAGGAATTATATAAATAAGACTTATTAGCTAAACCCTTTGATGCAACAGAGGGTCCAAGCTGGTTACACATTCTCTCACTGTCGACAGAAATTTTGTCTGTTCACCTGTCTACTTGCTACCTTGTTCCAGATGTATCTTAAGGCTGCTTCTTCGTATGGACAGCGTGGAGCTGCTGTGTGCTGTCCCGCCTGGCTCCCTGAGCAGCTCTCTGCTTCCTCCCTTATGTGTTTATCTTAAGCAGGACTGGGGAGCTTCAGGGCAAGCTAATAAAGACCCTTTAGGATAGACTCACAGTAGACGGGTTTTCCATAAAAGCCTGAATGGGGCTAAACAGTGAGGTTGGCCTCTCCGTCGTCTCCAATGCTGTGTAGAGAGCACCGGCTGAGGCGTGCCAGGGGTGGCACAAGTGGCTCGGTGGAAACTTTATTTTAGAAGGGCCACGCTGAACCTATCCCCAGCTTTAAAAGTGTTTCAAGAAGAAACTTCTACCAGTAGCTGATATAGAATCTTTTTTTAAAAGAAGGAAATCTTTTTTCACTGCATTGTCATTCACATACCACAAAGCTCTCCCTTTTAAGTGTTTTCCAGCATATTCGCAAATCTGTGTAATCATGGCTACTATGCCGTTCTAGAATATTTTAATTACTCTGTACACTGTCCTCTGCCCTCAAACTCACCGTTCACAGTCACTTCCCAGCCCCACCAACCTTCCCCACTAGGCTCGCAACCTCCAATCCACTATTACTCTCTGTGGATTTTTTCACTCTGGACCAGTGTGATCACATGATATGTGGCCTTTTTGTATCCGTCCACCTGCCCCCCCCCAAAAGCCCCCCCACCTCCAGCCACCACATACTTAGGGTGATGTTTTCTAGGTCCATTTATGCTACTGTATGGGCCTTTCTTTTTTGGGAGTGAACATTATTACACTCTATGCATATACCACTTTGGATTTATTTATCAGTTGAGGGCCAGTTGGGATGTTTTCTGCCGTTTGGCTATTGTGACTAATGCTGCTCTGAAGGTCCATGTACAAGATGTGATGAACATGTTTTCCCTGTTCTTGGCAAAAGAGTGAAATTGTTACTGTAGAATCTTGCTATTTGCCTCTTAGCAGGGACAAACCAGAATATTTGGCTCAAGCTATGATGGTGTAGTGGGTAATGCATTGGGCTGCAGTTTGAAACCACCAGCCTCCTCGAGGGAGAAAGATGGGGTTTTCTAACTCCCATAAACAGTTACGATCTCAGAAACCCACAGGGGCAGTTCTACCCTGTCCTACAGGGTCACTACTAGTAAGCATCAACTTACTGGCAGTGAGTTTTTCATCCAATGTAAAGAATGAAAATGAGAATTTCAGAGTATTCATCGCAGAGTATTGGCCGCTGATCTCACCATTCCATTTTAATTTTTTTTCATAACCAGGACAAGCTGCTGACAGTGCCCTCTGCTCGGTGTCACCTGCTTCTGCTTTTGCCATCGCCACAGCTGCGGCAGGACACGGGAGTCCTCCAGGTGAGCAGGATAGCGAAGAGCAGCTCGTGCCAGGCTGCCTTCCAGGATCTTGGCAGTGCAGCGGCTGTAGACTGCCCATGAGAAGCCTATTCTGAAAACATGACAATATTCACACAGTGGTCTGTGCATTACATTGGGGAAAAATACGTTTCAAAGAAGGCTGTGTTACCGCTCCCCTCCGGTGCTAAGGCATTCTTTAGCCATTTTAGCCAAATGATGAATCAGGAATACTTGATTCTGTTTGGATTGCGTGCCATGCCAAAAGCATGTGCAAGGTGGGAGGGAGAACTTGTAGAGGGAGGAGAGATGGGCCAGGAGGACACACCCTTTCACTGACTCATAATTACTGGTCATTATTCATTTCCATCGGCTCCAAAGTGCTTTCTGAGGGGTGTCCATTACTGTTCAGAGTCAAGGAGAAGCCCTGAGAATGAAAGGGCAGTGTTGAAGGAGGTGGGAGTCATTTCAGTGCACCTGTGGCCTCTTCTCTAATAAGCAAGGAGGATATGATATTGAAACGAACCAGTAAGTGACTTAAACAACCCTGTCACTGTGAGGGTGTTCACCTGAACTGACTCTGTGGGTTTGCATCCTCAGGATGTGCCCGGCGGGGTGTGCTTGTTCACTAGTCCTTGTTCGCCCCACAAAGGCATCCGTTTCCAAAGCCTCGGAGCCCACCCACCTTCTCCATTGTGGCCAGTGGGTACCTCTGCGTGGATTCTTTCTAAACTGAAGGAAACCCACAGACAGCCGTGTCCAAACAAGTGGGACTCCGTCAGTAATTACGTGTACTCCATCCGAAGGGACACCATTGCAGACCTTCCACTCCAGCATTCCCCTCAAACACCACGCTCGACGAGGTCAGAGAAATTGGGGTGGTTTCCCCTCCCCACATATTCCTAAAACCTGCCCCCCAAAGTTCTGTCCGCCTAACACCAAATCGCGCGGACTGGTCTGAACATTGATACTTCGTCATCCAGCAGATGTATGTGACTGACTGGATTCGGCGATGGTGGACATTGTGCGTGAAATAGGGGAGAAATCGTTGCTGTGCTTTCCAAAGAGTTGCTTGTGGGTTATGATTCCCCAAGGCAGTCTCTTGTCTTCAGGTTTTGCAAACTGGCTTTTGGAAAATGAGGTCCCAGAGCTGTTCCTCACAGGGTTCCTAATTGCAGCCCGGTTTGGGTGCGGGAAGAGCTTTCGGAGTGAATTCAAGATGAGCCGGTGTCTCCTTTGGTGGGAGCCTGAGTAGGAGAATCTTCCTTTTCTCCGAGATGTTGGTGAAGACGAAATGTCCCAGTGTGCTTCCCCAGTTCAGTGTCGCAGCGCAGAGTGTGTGTGTGTGTGTGTGTGTGTGTGTCGTGTGGGTCAGAGTGGAACTGTGCTCCCCAGAATGCTCAGTCACCGTGGTTTCAGGCTCACTTTCTCACGCTTCCCTTCTGGGGGGCGGAGGGGGGCCTCCAACTTCCAACCTTCTGTAGTTCGCACTTTCCTAGTTAGCACTTAACCATATGTACCACCCAGGAACTCCTGCTGACCTTTATTTCGTGTCTTATTTTAGGGTTATTTTGTGTTTGGGTGTGTTTCAGGTGAAAGTTGACATGGCATCAGTGTCTTGTCCTGACACATCGGTTAGCATTTCCCTGTTTGATTCACCTTCCCTTCCTCGGCTTTCTCATGCTTTGAGGTAAATGGGACCGGTCTGGTCGCCTATAGTAAACAGTCAAGGGAGCACGTTAATTATGGATGGTATTTTTAATTTTATAAGACAGTCTATTAAGGTGACCTCCAAAGGTTGGATTCTGTTCCAGTTCCAAGGTGACATTTGGGCAATATTCTTGGGGCCCCTTTTATCTCTGTTGGTCCAGGACGCGTGGGCTCTGTGAGGAACTTGCATTTTGTTCTCCATTTCCCTCCCACTCTCTCCAGGATCTTTTCTTGTGTCAAAATAGTCAGCGGTCTTCTGAGGGACCCACTAGGCGTCTGGCCTCAGATTCGGAGAGGCTGGGCTTTGTGCAGGCTCTCCGTCCTGCAGATTCATTTCTTCTGTGACTCTTTGGTTTTCTTCCTATCTTTGAAAACCACTCGCAAATTTTAAGACTCTGGCAACTTTGAAGACTATTCCAGTGCCCAGCCAAAGAGCATGTAGAACGTTTTGTTTAGGAACTAGCCCTACCCTAATGGCATCAAGGCTGTGCCCGTATTAAGGGGGCTGCACTCCACCCTCACCTTTTTACAACTGCATGGCCTCTCGCTTTCGCTCCCACGATGGAGTTGGTTCCGTCGTGTTGGGTCCCACGATGGGGGATGACTAGGCCTTACCTGCCAAACCACTGAGGACCCTGGCCCAGGGTGGACACCAATCCTAAGGATCGCATCCACGTGAGATGACGTGCTGTGAGCCCTCGCTGTTCTTGGTAGTCGCACCATGTTCCGTTTGATGAATGCCTCACGGTGTGTTCATCCTGTCTTCATGGATGGGCGCTTAGGCTGTTTGCACCCTGTTGCGATTGTGATGAAAGCTGTAGTGAATGTGGGTGTTTCTCAGGAGCTTTTGACGATAGTTTTCTGAAGCTGTCCGCGCTCACCGGGCCGGAAGAGTAAAGCAAGGGAGTCCGCGCCGCTTCCTCCCTGTCTCAGTACATGCACCCTCTGTTGCCTTTCTCCTAATTTCTCCCCGCAGCGGCAGTATCCTTAGGAAGAAAGCTCTCTGGAGTGAGTCCTTGGCTGTGCTTTCTGAGGAAGGCTGCATGGGCATGTTGACTGACCACAGGCAGCGTTGGTAGGTGGAGGAAAGCCTGGCCCTTGGTGACCAGACTCCTTTTTTTAATGGCGGTGCTTCTACCGTGGTGTGGAGTGATGTGATTCCATTTGAAAAGTAAAAGAAATGAGGGGATGCACTTGACCTCGTCAGTGACCCTGCTGTGGCACATAGCAGCCCTATAGGTCAGAGTAGAAGTGCCCTGGTGGAGTTGAGAGCATCCCTATTTACAGGAGTAGAGAACCTCATCCTGTTCCCAAGGAGCCACGGGAGGGTTTCCAACTGCTGACCCTGTGCTTGACCACCCCACAGGGAACCCACTGTACCATGACTCCACGGCCATGATGTGTTTTTTCTGTTTGTTTGTTCAGGCAACAAGCGATGCACGGCCGGTTCCAGGGGCTAGTGGCCCTAAGAGAAGGAGTTTCCTTTGGCATGGGGACCATTGTGTCCCTGCGGCTCAGCCACTCAGTGGGGCTGACCCTGCAGGAGATCAGTCCTGCCTCAAGACCTGGGCCGGGGAACTCTGTTTCATTGGCTCTGAGAAGAGGTTCTAGATTTCCCGGCTTCTGAGGGGAGCCTAGGGCTGTCCATGGCACAGATGTTCAAAGGGAGAGGATACTAGATAAAGACGAACTCCCCAACTGGTGTGTGTAGTCCCTCTCTGGCTCTAGATTTCTGGCCAGAGCGCACCATCGTGCATCTGTCCATTTGTTGTACTGTGGCGGCTTGCATATAACGTGATGTTGGAAGCTATAACATCGCTAATTCAGGTATCAGCAAGGTCAGCCATAGTGCTCAGATTGTTTTATTGCAGCTTCTAGACTAAGATGAAGAAGAAAAGGCTGGCTAGCCACACCCAAAACTCAGCCAGCAGAAACACTATACTAGCCAAGACAGTGGCCTGGAACATACAGAGAGTGTGAGGATGACAGGGCAGTGATTCGCTCTGTTGTGCGTGAGGTTACGGGTGTTGGAGCCAATTGGAGTGCGCTGGCCACAGCAGCATCCACGTACCATAGACCCTGGTGAGTTGCAAGGGCAAGGAGGAAGGAAGGTTGTGCAAATGAGGAAACACCCCTGCTTGCCTAAGTCTCTCCAGGCTTCCTGTCTGCCTGTGGGGCTGTATGTGGGCGCATCTGAAAGCCCATTCATCTCTGGCGGGGCCCGGCCAAGCCATGGCCAAGCCTCTAGGATGGGCTTCTTTCTCCCAACCTCCTCTGCTAAAGTCTGCTTGCTTTCATCCTCTCCTTGGGTCCCCACCACTGAAATACCCCGGAAGCAGACGGCTTGGAGTTAAACTGTGGATTAATGAGTATGCTCTACAACGTTCACTCCAGTCATTAGCATGCAAGATCATCTCTCTTTAATGACTGCACATAAAGGCTTCCATATCGCAATACCAGCAATGACAGATTTTAGCAAGAGGGTGGACAGAAACATCATTTTGCCAAGAGGCCAGACAAGATGCCGTTGCGTGGACCTGGCTCTGGCAATTCGCCTACCAAAACAAAACCAAACTCACTGCCATGGAGTCAATACTGACTCATGGTGACCCTATAGGCCAAGGTAGGACTGCCCCTATGAGTTTCCAAAGCTGTAACTCTTTGCTGGAGGAGAAAGTCCTGTTTGTCTTCCTTGGAGCAGCTGGTGGTTTTGAACTGTTGACCATGCAGATCACAGTCCAGTATGCAACCACTATGCCACCAGGGGTCCTCAGTTCGACTGAACCACTTCTACCCAGGGAATCCAGAGCCTGTCCCTGCTCTGGTGTCCACCGTGCTGTGGTAGGGCTTTAACTCTAACCAACTTAATTTACAGGATTCAGGAGTCTAATGTACATGAGACAGAGGATGACTGATGGGGTTTCTGTGTGCCAACTAACATTATTGGTGCAAGTGTCTTACTTGTTTTCACGTCAGTTGGCTTGGACTCATGACAACCTTGTGTA